CTTCTTCTTCTTCTTCTTCTTCTTCTTCTTCTTCTTCTTCTTCTTCTCCTCCTCCTCCTCCTCCTTCTCCTTCTTGTTTCTTTTTCTTGTTTCTTCTTCTTTTCTAACTACTACTCTCCTCTTCCTCCTCTTCTTCTTCTTTTTCTTCTTCTTCTTCCTCTTCCTCTTCTTCTTTTGGTGCAATGAAGTCCTCTTGCTTGACAATGACAAGCTCTTGCTGTCTTCTGAGAAACCCTTCCAAAACCAGGTTGAGATCCAAGTTCTCCTGCTTGACATGGGACAATTGCTGTACCACGCCAAGCCAAACGTGTGGTATAAAAACTGCCCAGCCCCCTTATTTTGCAAAAGGGTTGAGTGGTTTTAATTAAGTCGAGCGCAGTCCAACCCTACCCCTAACCCCCCCCCCCCCCCCCCCAAGAGAATCTACCCAACCCAACCAGGTGGACCTTCGACCACAGTGATCTGGAGAGAAGTAGAAACTAGGAATCATGTTTTGAGATGTGGGCCTTGGTGGGCCTTGGCTACAGATAGAAATTGTCCACTCTTCTTATGGGAAGTGCCTCCGTTGGGTTCGGTTGAGGTTCTTCACCAAGGGAGCTTTGTACAGGATCTGAAAATTCTCCTACGGGGTTGACGTTGTGGCGTCTTTTCCAAGGCACATCTCCTCTCCCCCGGTCCCTACTCAGAGTGGCGTGGAAAGACCGCGTGGGTAGAACATCTCAAAGGAGTGTGTGGGACGGACACCTCCCACATAGGTCTTCATGAGATGAACGTCTCACACGTAGAGATCTCCATGAGATGAACCTCTCGTGCAGAGATGTCCATGAGGTGGACGTCTCACGCATGGGTTTCCACCCTTTGCAAAATTGGGGATGGGGGGGGTGTTTTCCAAAAGCAACCCCGTCGTGGTTGGTGACCATCTACTCTACGATGATAACAAGATGGGTTTCAACGCCGAATTGCGTTTCTCGGCCCAAAACCACCCCTCTATTCAGCTTGAGTTGATTTCCCGGAGAAGGTCGGTGCCGTGAGGCGAGACTAAACGATGAAAGGAGAACCGATGGGTCCATCTGGATTGATCCCTGCTGATTCACAGCCCCTTGACCTCACCAGGAGGCCCCCCGAAAGCACCAACCGAGCTTCTTCGTAATAAGTGGCTTTCACTCCTGTCTCTCCGCTGTCTCTTCACGGCAACGATTGATGCACTTCATGATGTCCCACCATCACGGCGGGGACCGTAATTATCCCTGCTTGGAGCTATTCAGGCCTTCGAAACGGAGAGAGGGGGTGAGGTTGTACGGTTGAGGTCCTTCTGCGGCTCCGGGAATTTGCTCTGCGCTTGAGGATTTCCCTCCAGGACTCTGCAACAGGGTGGGGTGAAAAAAAAAATATCGAGCATGCCTCAGGAAGGTTGCAAACACCGCAACCGCGCTCCGTGGAGTGTGTTACTCTCGCAATCGGGTGGCCGTGGGTAAGGTTGAAATTTTGGAAAGTCACCGCTGGTGTCCTAAGGAAGGAAAATGGCCACCGCCTCATCTTTCTTTCCACTGTTATCGTTCAGTGCTCCGTGCACGACGTCAAAACTTCATCGGCAAAGCAAAAAATTAATAATAATAATATTCATTTCACACATTCAAGCGGTTCGGACCGGTTCTGGAGAACTGGTAGCAGAAATTTTGAGTCGTTTGGAAAACCAGCCGATCCCACCTCTCCGACTGGAGATTTTGCCCTGTATCCTTCCCTGGCCACGCCCACCAAGCCCCACAAAACCGGTAATAAAAATAAATAAATTTGAACCCCACCACTGTATCAATCCTTCCATTCCCCACCATCCAGTCAGAGCTGAAGAAGCTTCTGGGATGAGAAGCGAAACACCTTCAAAAGAAAAAAAAACAAGAAAGTCCAGCTGCCTCTTGAAATAAAAGCGCCTCTGGGACAACTGAGGAAACAGATCAACCTCCAAGTGGCCTCAACGACCCTCTAAAAGGATGCAAATGACCAGCTGTGTCTGCAAGGAGTAGAAATCCAGAGGGGGTATATATTCAGCGGGGTCAGACCAGTTTTGGAGAACCAGTAGTGGAAATTTTGATTAGTTCAGAGAACCAGCAAATCCCACCTCTGACTGGAGATCTTGCAGTGTTATCCTTCCCCTGCCACGCCCACAGAACCAGTAGTAAAAAACAAAAATTGAATCCCACCACTGATTTCACATCGTTTTAGACTAATCTGGGTACTTGTTACTCCGTTTAAGAGCTCCAGGTGAATGGGGGGGGGGAGGTGTCCCCAGGAAAATGGAGCCAGGTTATAGTAGTCTCACCTTTGCCAGATGTTGCTCTAGAGCAGGGGTCGCCAACCTTTAGGACCTCAGGGACCACCAAACTCATAATTTTAAATCCCGCGGACCACTAATATGGATTTTGATCGACGGTGGCTTGCTGACATCGGTGGGAAAGTCGGTCCCATATCCCAGAGCTGCAGGAGTCACAGGATTGGCCCCTTTGGTCATCCCAGAGTAGCTGCTCCTCCAGTCCATGGCAGGCTGGTGCACCCAGGTGGAGGAGCAGCTACTCCGGGGTGACCAAAGGGGCCAGTCCTGTGACTCCTGAAGCTCTGGGATATGGGACCGACTTTCCCACCGACGTCAGCAAGCCACCCCAGAGCGGATTTCCCTCCCCTGCTGTTGGTCTTACCTTCCGGTTCCAACTCGCATGGCTCTACTCAAGGTTTGCACCAGAGGTGGTATGTTTAAGCAGGTTCTGACGAGTTCTGGAGAACAGGTAGCAGAAATTTGGAGTAGTTGGGAGAACCGGCCAATCCCGCCTCTGACTGGCCCCGCCAACCCCCATCTCTTCTCTGCCTCCCGTTGAGTCCCAGCTGATCAGCTGGGTCTCCTTTGGTTGCCCTGCCCAGGAGAACGGAGCTGGAAAGCAGGTTAGTGGGATGGGGAGGGAAGGGGGATTTTGCAGTATATCCTTCCCCTGCCACGCCCACCAAGCCACACCCCCACAGAACCAGTAGTAAAAAAATTTGAATCCCACCACTGGATGGATGGATGGATGGATAGGTAGGTAGGTAGGTAAGTAGGTAGGTGGATGGATGGATGGATGGATGGATGGATAGGTAGGTAGGTAAGTAGGTAGGTAGATGGATGGATGGATGGATGGATGGATGGATGAATGGATAGGTAGGTAGGTAAGTAGGTAAGTAGGTAGGTAGTAGATGAATGGATGGATGGATGGATAGGTAGGTAGGTAAGTAGGTAGATGGATGGATGGATGGATGGATAGAGGAGGGAAGGGGGATTTTGCAGTTTATCCTTCCCCTGCCAGGCCCACCAAGCTACGCCCACCGAACTAGTAGTAAAAAAAATTTGAATCCCACTAGTGGTTTGCGCTTGGCTGAAGGTTAGGGGCCAGCGGGTGGGCGGGCCATGTCGGTGGTGCAGCCTTGTGTTCCCACTCAGTCTGGATTAATTGCTTTGGGGGGACGGTTCTCTGCGGACCACCAAAATTTTCTCACGGACCAGGGTTGCAAATAAAAACATTAAAAAAATCACAATATACAGACCAGATAATAGGATTCGTGGTAGGTTATCAGTGGACAGTTAAGAGTCAGCCTAATTTTTATATAAAGCGCAGGTCATCCTTGACTTACGACCACACAGCCCCCAAAATTCCTGTCACTAAGTGAGACATTTCTTAAGTGAGCTTTCCCCCATTTGGCGACCTTTCTTTCCACCGTCATTAAGTGAATCACTTGTTACGCGAATCTGGCTTCCCTGTTGACTTTGCTTGTCCGGAGGTCTCAAAAGGGGATCGCGTGAGCCCGGGACCGTCGTAAAGTGAGAACAATCAACCCATGGAACAGCTTTGCCCTCGGAAGTTGTGGGAGCGCCCTCACTTCAAGAAGAGATTGGACTCCCCTCTGTCAGAAATGGTGTAGGGGGGTTGGGCTAGATGACCTACAAGGTCCCTTCCAACTATCTGTTATCTGTTATTTGTTACATAGGAGTCAGCTGATGAGCATCTGAATTTGGATCACATGACTGTGTGAAACGCCGCAAGGGTGGAAAAACGATCTTAAGTCGCTTATTTCCAGGGCTGTGGTGACCTTGAACTGTCATTAAATGGAACCGTTGTTAGTCGAGAACCACCGCTATATTGGGTTCAATCGCGATCTGGGTTATAATGGGTGTTCTTCTCAGCCAAAAAACAAAGGCCTACTGGGAAATTCTTTCCGTGATTTGCTGCATTTCCCGAATTCTTAGCCATTTTTGCTCACATCGTTAGTTTTTTTCCCCTCAAAACAAAGTAATTATGAAATGGCCCGTAGAAGATATATGGCAAAAAAGGAGATTTTGGGAGGATTTAAGGGCATTCGGTCCATTTAGCTTCCTTTCGAACAATGTTTTTTTTCCCCAAACATGGTCCCTTTAAGACGTGTGGACTTCAACTCCCAGAATACCCCAGCCAGCCAGGGGAATTCTGGGAGTTGAAGTCCACCTGTCTTAAAGGGGCCATGCTTGGAAAAGAAAAACATCCTTTTCAATAAAACAACCAATATT